CACCCTAGTAAGCACACATCGGTATACAAAAAAGAGAGTGAGCGAATGAGTGAGTGATAACAGAGCGGTATATTTAGTGGTGCAGTGGTAGAACGCTTCTCCGGCATAGGTGAAACGCGGGTACAACTCCCAACTGAGGTTGAGTTTTGCATATCCATCAGCATTGTTAGACAGAAATTACTAGCACGTTTTAGTAAGATCGAGCACAATTAGGCACATCTCATTGAGCTGCCATCGAATTGGAATTTTTATCGAGATAGGGTACCCTTTTTCCGTAATCTTTCCCTTAGCCAAACTGATAATTGTAGAAAAAGTTTTGCCTTATTGCCTGAAAAACGATTTTTACATGTGTATCTTGTGCGATTTTAAGCTCATCAAACAGCTCATTTTCTGGCGCATCGAACAATGTATCACTTGTCTACACAGCCTTCAGAACGGCACTGTTCAAGGATCACAATCGTCTGCTGCTCTACTCTCACGACAAATTGAGTGTCAATGCTTCTGACGTTCATTGACAAATCTGAAAGGGCATAGTGAAGAAATTAGCGATGTTCAGCAATTCAGAGTTAAATCAAGACATTTCGTGCATCAGAAGACCGGTTGACCGACAAGGAAAGAGAGCGACGTTTACGAGAATTCGATCATCAAGCAGCCGTCAATTAAGAAGATTCATTGATGAGTTACCGGATCTTGTGTAAAGAGTTGATTGTGGCCCAATGACGATTTGGCACATTCTCTGGGATATCGGCAAACAATGCTTGAAGTCCAAATGGATCCTCCACGAATTGTCAATGGATTAAGGAGAAAAACGATAATTGCTTGCGTTTGCTTGTTTGAAAATACGACGAAACTTTTTCTAGAAATTATTACATAGATTTCTGATCATCTAAACAAAGGTCACTTATGATTTTCAACAACAGTCAGATTGCATCTAATAGTAACATAACTGCTTGCAAATTATTGAGATTCGGAAACTACTGGTGTAACTTGGACACACCTTAAGCTTGTTCCACACTGATTGCCTTTCTTCATCTCTAACACATCGACTCATCCTGCTGAACGTCTCATACACTGATTCACTATACATTAACAGCCATCCACTATCTTTCCTAGAAGGTTAAGGCTTTCAAAAGGATAGAGTATCATCACGTCGAAAGGATTTGCTAACAACATACATTTCTGTGTGCACGAATAAACTCACACCAATTTTTGATTTTCCAAGAGTCCGATGCATACATCACATGCCTCTTTTTTATTCTCGAACGAGCGTACTGCAAAAAAATGTTGGAAAAACATCAACAGAAGTTACTCTGCGTTGTATGACACAAGCGTCGTATAAAATAGAATTACAATGGATCTCCTCCACTTTTTACAAAAACGAAAAGCTCGTGGTCCTAGTACATTTTTTTAGTTGGAAAACATATTACAAGCCTTTTGTGAGGTCTGCTGTGACACTTATATAGTGCTAGACGTACGTTTCGACCTTTCAACCCCATAAGTAGCACGGTGCCTTTCTTTTGAAGCAATCCCTTGTATGGGCATGTACCCCCTACAAATAAGGGAATTGACGGCAAACATACTACACTGCACGTGTATCAAGTGACTATATCACACGACATTGCAATGATTGACAGTCGATTGCTCATGGCTGGTAAATTTGATAATAGTTTTATATTCGATTGTTTTTTTACAACCCCGCTCAATAAGCAGTCAAGTATGAAGGTATTGTCAGATATATCAGCCAAGCAGTCGACTGTTAGTCATTGAAATGTCGGATGACCTCTTGTCACTTGGCAAACGTGTAGTGTAATATGTTCCTTGTCGATTCCTCTATATGTAAAGGGTATATCTCCTTACATAGGATTGCCTCAAATGAAAGGCACCGTGCTACTGATGAGGCTGGAAGGCCGAAACGCAAGTTTAGCACTATACAAGTGCCATAACAGACCTCATGAAATGTCTAAGATATGTCATTAAATTGCACTATTTTAAGCGAGGTCTCAGAAAAACAGATATTATATAGATATATTATATATTAGAATATAGAGGCGGTAAGTGATAATACTTTGACTGGGCAATTTTCTGTAGTGGAAACTTGTGAGAGCCGTGCTAGGATCGTGCTAGGATTTTTCCAACGTCTTCGCTATGGATTACCTTTCGTAATTTTGGATATTAATGAGATTTACCATCAAGTAAATTAATGAATGTGAAGGGGGTGTGGCGCTTAGTTATGAGAATTTGAGTAGGTTTTCTGTATAGATTAAAGATATGAATCTCGAATGAGTAGCAATTCACTTCAGCGAACTTTTGTATAATGGAATATTTCATGAATTCCAGTGTTGCAGTTTGTTCTTAATTCCAATTGATGATATATTTTAACGAAATTCGGGAATGCACGTGGACATGAAAAAAGGAAGCGCAAAGCTTAACGTTTGTGACATAAACTTGAACATCTTCTTGAGATCAGCGAATTCGAAAGACAAATTTGGTTTCCTCGTCAACCTGAACATTTGCGACTGATAAACCTCTAATGTAATTGACAGCTAAATGTCTTGAATTGGTTGAAACTTAGTGGTTTGCCTTCGTTTTTGACTGTTCTTACAGTTTCAACACGTAATCACGACTAGCACAGAAGTGTATAATCGCTTCTGTCCTGAGATTGTTTAGGGGTTTTTCGTCGCAACGCGAGGCGCATGTTCATAACAACAGATTAAGTCTTTCGCTCATGGTTTTTAGTGCACTTAGGTGGCGATAGCATTTGTGATATTTAGTTAGTGCTCCACTACAATAGTGCTCAGCAACTGCCCACAAGCGACTGTATTTGGTTTTCTGCCAATAAGCTTCTTCGTCTTTCTCGACAGGTTGTTCTATATCAAAAGTTATCGTTATCCACTAATTTCTGTTTGGGCAGTCGACAATCACCTTTGAAGGTGACTGTCGATGCTGACTTTCGAGAAACTACTCGAAACCTTAGAAGAACCGGAAATCATAGCAATTACAACCAAGAAGTCTGACGGAAATCTTTGCTCGCAAAACGTCCAACTCCTTCCTAGCTTGGATTTTGAAATACGGTGGGAAAGAATTCTATTGCAAACGCTGACAACGTTCAGCGCTCCGGTTGGACTGAGACTAAAATTCTAAAGCCTTCCCAGGGAGAATATGGTCTACACATGGGACAAATATGTACCAAATGTGATATCTCGCTAAAATATTCGTGCTTTCAGCAACTCGCCAAATTGATAAACATGAATATTTCTGATAGCTTAGCCTTTACTGGAACGCCCCTAAAGATCGCGTGGCTCCCAGAACCTCACAATTTTGTGCTACCGGAGTAAGTAAGCCTAACATTTTTGAAAAGAATATCTAGCTTACACAGGTTTTTGCTATGAATAGTAAGACTGAAATACGTGTACGTAACGCGGTTGAGTTCTTACAAAACATCTGCGCAAAATGCGCCATTTTTGTATTATAATTTAGAATGAAACAGTTTGTCGCATTGGTTACAATTGTGCCATAGAAGACATAATTGTGCACAACAAATTGTATAATCCTAAATTTTAAGTAAATCGTGAGATCTCCTATAAATAGCATAGCTATAAAAGTATCTAAAAAGAAACTACTATGATTTTCTTTTGAAACGGTTTTTTTCGCACCAAGCACAGCAAACTTTGTAAAGTTACAGTGATGCATTCGCATTGTTGACATGAACTGAGTGATTTGCTGTACTGTAAAAATGTTCTAGGAAATCTGGCTGATCTCACCTCGTTAGCTTTTTCCGTTATAATTATGTTTAGTGCCTCCATTTCAAGCGAACTGAGCTGTGTTTCTGGATCCGACATGTACCTAAATAGTAGTCGATTTACATCTCAAAAAAATATTCTATTAATAAAAATGATTTAATAATATATTAAAAATACAAAAAGTTGAAAAAATTTTTGGATCAAAATTAAATTAAAATTAATTGAAATCAAAGAAAATTTAATTATATTAATTTAAAAAGTATTAAGTATTCTTCAAAAAAAATACTTAAGTCATGACAGAATAATAGGGCATCATGATAACAATGTTACGGAGGTTTGCTTACATCCATCAACGTGTATTACATTTCATGTCGCCTTTTCAAGCTGTGCGTCTGCACACCAGCCCATTGCTGATGAACTGAATCAAGCATGACTCATGTTCAATTTCGGATGTTAAGTCTTGCTGAAGGGAGCTCAACTGCGGACTTCTTGCATTTATTTGGAAGATTAAACAGCATAATTGATGCGGCGAGTGTTAGTTGAGGAAGGTCGTACTATACAGAGGTGATTTAAGTAATCGTTTTTTTTTTGGACGAGTATAAAGTGAATACAGCATCGGAAGCATTGCAGAAACAGTTGCTAATGAAAGCGTGTAAAAATAGACAGCAACTAGGATATTACTGGCGTATAAGAAGTGATGGTAATACGTATGGATCTTTAATACCTACGAGAGGTCAGCTTAAATCATACGTGACTTATCTCCTGAATGGCTAAAAATTAGCTGGTCTTCTTACATGTGCGTAGCACAAAATCGGACGTCATAGTTGTAAAGATACTTTTACGTGAATTAAAATCGCATTTTTCTGCTGCCGCGGTCTACAGAAATCAATCGGTTCCATTTTCCTCATTTTGGAAGCTGTTAAGAGAAATGACTTTGCCTCGTCATTCCAAGTAGAAGTATAGATATTCTAATCGAAACACCAGCTTTGAAGAGTAGTATTTCTTTTGAACACCCAGATATCTTCGTATCGCCTAATTTATTGATTATGCACAAAGTTTTACGCGAAGTCATTGCTTCCGAAGCCATGTGGTGGAGTTTACATGTGAAGCTAGATTTTTCTATTGCTTTGATGAGGGAATTCTTCTTTGACCAAATGGAGTGTAATAAAACTCGTGAATTTCTAATGGTTTGCCTGCATTTCTCTCACTGGTACGATGTTTCCAATACATCTAAGATAATTGAATGGTGAACAGAAACGTAGTCTCAGCGGGAATCGAACCCGCACTTCATCCTCTCACGAGACGCGTGCTCTACCACTACACCAACGGAGTTTTTAAAACAGAGTAATAGGAGATAAAACTATTCTACAGGAATAAATGATATGAAAGCTACAGACTGATAAGCTACTCGTGACTACACAGCTTCCACCTTGAGAGTTTAACAAGCTATATGGTGGGTATAGATAGCTAGATTATGTACAAGAAACGGGCCCCATTCTTCTGACCTCCAAAGAGTACCCGGTGCACAACGTTGGGAAGGACGACTGTAGAGACTCTGCTAATATCTCAGTGTTAAACTGGGCTACCATTAAAATGACGAAGTAAGGTTAGTTGTGAGTACCCATAACGTAAACACACCTGCATATGAATCCTCTTTATAGGATCTATCTCTAACTCTCTGCGGTCGACGGCCAATTTTGGCTGGCGGACGACTAGGGATGGCTACGAGTAGCGCTAATGTGGAACAGCTTTATAGCATTGGGGTAGTTTTTCAACGAAATTTAGATTTTAATCACCACTAAAAAAACTTAGTCGTATGTAAATAAAAACATATGATATAAGAGACTTCAACAAGACTATTTTTGATTGAAATATGCCAAGAGAATTACAAAATTTTTTTTTTTGTCAAATGTGATGCTGGGCACAGCGTACGATGCTTCTCTATAGGTAGCAATCAACGATTTTTCGATTACTAATGTACTTCAAGAAATAGGATCTCTAAAGATTACACAGGAAACTTTTTCCTTGGTTCTATTGCTACTAGCTTTCGAGTATCGAATTACACTTTACTGTTAACATTTTTGATCGTTGAAACTTGTGTCACTGATCTCACGAATTAATGAAAATGTAGTTGCCATTCTGTTAGCACAAAATAATGTGAAGGTCATTTCAAAAACCAAGCATAGCGCTGAGAACTTCACTTCTCAAGTCATTGAATGAATGCTAGAAGCTGGTGAAGAAGCTCTTTACATGAAAAAAAATAAAGGAATCACGAGCACATTGGTATAATGTTATAGACATACCCAATGAGGGAGAATGATGTGTGAAATTTTTGCGCCAGGCGGGACTTAAACCGCATATCACCCTATCCGAGGGGGTGAGGGGGGGGGGGGGGGGCGTGCTTTTATTCATAACAACGTACCATCGCAAAGCGGTTAAGATAAGAAGAATTCTGTTTGGTCATGGAATACCCAGCTGTCAGCGTTATTAGGTTCAGTGTCGATATCGACTACCTAGACCAAACCGTTGACGGTTGGATGCTGAAAGATAGATGCGCTGTAGCGTAGAAAGAGTGTTGGCAAAACGGGCGTTAAGTAGTGTAACAGGTTAGAGTACGCGTTCCCGGATAGAGTGAGATACGAGTTTGAGTCCCAGCTGACGCAAAAGTTTTACTCATCACTCTACATCATTGAGTATATCATGAAAGTCCTTCCACAAATCAAGCGCAGTATCAAAATCAGTATTTACAAGGCTATCGGCTGACTTGAAAAACTTAGATAAAGTTTAAAAAATGTTCAATAACGGCTGGAAAAATGTTCTTTCTCGCAGCGATGGGTTTTCTAGTTATGGAATCCAAATTTTAAAAGGCATTAGCGACGATTTCACTTAATTTATTTCGCAGAAATCTCCTCAGTGATATTCCAGTATCTAGTGAAGGCAATGTTTCTTCGAGACCTATAAGTAACCGGATTTTACAAGAGACGCGCATTAACCTTTGTAGCCGTCCGAACGGGGCGGAGAGCTTGCGAAATCAAAAGACCTCTCGCTATCTGCAAAGGGTTGATACAGGCAAGAAGGATAAAATACATCGACATAGGGCGGCTGAGACGAGAAAAACGCATCATTTTTACTCTCTCCGCGACACCAGAGAGGAACTCCACGAAATAAGGGGCGGTGGTGATCGGCGGTTATGACGTTCTCGTCAAAACGAGCTTTAGCATGAACACTGATTTTCCAAACAACTAACATTTCCGATTGGACGATTGAGGTTGAAACATGTGGATCAATGTCGGTATCGACCATGTTCGTTAGTTACGCACCATAATCGAGTATGACAAAAACGAAGTCGAAGCGTTCTATATGGACTTGGAAAATTATTCGAAGGAGACCTACATTTCTCAAGGTCATCATTGAGAATTCTGATGAAAAAATTTCACCTAGGAGAAGGCCTGAAAAACGACACATTGGGATCGACGAACAAGAATGAAACGAACAGGATGTGAAGTTGTCTGGGCTTACTATGATGACGAAAACCATCCATGATAACTCACAATTGAAAAGCTCCGCTCTCTTTGGTGAGTTTGGGAGTCTCTCAATGGTGTGTACCATAACGAAATAGGCCATAACTTAGTAAACGAAAGTTCTGCTTTACCGATACCGTTGTTGCTTCAAGATTCTACACGTGATCGAACCATTGCATTCTCGTGCATTATTCCATTTCTTGCAAAAAACAGAGAAAACCGCTGAGTTTACACCTACCATTGACTGGGATGACTTCAAACCATTAGCTGGTTTCTGAGAAGACACCGTCACTGACACAAGATGAACGTGAACCGCATATTCAGCACCATCAAATTAGCATCGTGAAAATTGAAAGTCTGATGTCACCAAAGACGTTTGTCTCTGAGAGTTACAGATACCAGGAAATCGAATTGAAGAAGATTATATCGAGAGAAAACAGCAATATGACCGAAGCTGCTGTAGTTGGAAAGAAACTCTTAGAGCCACGCGAATCCCCGCAAATTACGAAATTAAGATGAATGCGCTCCAACTCCTTGAGCAAACAGTCACAGCTCTCAAAAAGACAGTGGAGAAAATCATCCAGGACTATTACTCCAATCTTTTCAATAGCCATGTCCTCTTAACTATATATAGAGCAAAGGAGGATAAATTTGCCGTTCTACCGGTTTTCTCTTCCCAATCCGACATAATATCTCGTCGGTGAAGAATGAAACATGGGTCTAGTCCAGGCATAGTAAGATCTGAACATCCGAAGAACCTCCGCCACTCTCTATCAACACGCTATCTAAACTCCCCACCCGTTACCTTTCAGAGTACAATGTTCCTAATCATTAAAAAACTGACAATATCGCGTTATTGTACAATGAGGGAGACCTTTGAAACATCGGCAACAATCTCTGTCTACTTGCTGTCTGTCGTCTTTCGAGTCATTTTGAACAAGATTGACAAAAACACTGGACGAAGGAAGCTATGCGAACAAACGCAAAACCCACTAAGGTTTCGTGAAACTACAAAATACTACTTTATTCCACTTCACGGTCGACAATTAAACCATCTTTCTTCGCTTATGACATCGTTCTTATAACATCAAGCATTAAGCGGGTACAACGAATGTTGGCCGATTCGACAACGCTTGTGGAACTATGATCTCCACTTTAATCCAACGTAAACGATGTTTGTAAGATACGGAATAGTTTTGAATGCGCCATCCACTCTCAACGAAATAAATATCTCCGAATGCTCTAACTACATCTATCTAGGTCGAAAGTCAACATGAAGAGGGGCTTATCTTCAGAGTTGAATAGGGGGAATCAAGGGATTGGAAGCGTTGAAGAGCAGCAAGGGTTTAGTTTTGAACACAAAGAACATCCGCCTTAATGCATACCTTCTCGGTTCAATATTTATTATTGTCTTAACGTGTGCATAAGACTATTCGCTAGGTGAGCAGGTTTAAGAACCATCTAGAGAGATTGAACATATAGTTGAAAGGCCAATGCTAGGAACATCGCGTATCTCACAAATGAGCGAAAAAATCGGAAGTCCTGGCCTACGTTACCATCGAAAATCAAAGACGCTGCAGGCTATCGAAGATAAGGAACGAGGAGGTAGCAGTGGACTACTCTTGTACACGACAGGAAACAATGGAAGTTATAATGGTGCACGCTTGCGTCACTTGACGTTAGAAGGGAGAGTAACCGGTGACCCAAGCGCAACGGTATGTCGTTATCGGGCGACTCGGCATCTCAGCACGAAAAATAGTCAAGCAACAGAATAAAATATCCTAAGGAGATTTAGAAGGTAACAAAAAAGAAAGATATGATAAAGCTGCTTTCGTGCTCACTATGAATTGTTCTCTTAGTAATGGCAGCTTTTCATAGTTAACTTGAGCTACCGCGTTCTTAACAGGGTGCAGACAAAGTTCTGTCCTCAATTCAAAACGCAATTAAGAAAATTTATTTGTACACCATTGAAGCTCGACTAGTCAAAGTAATCGAGACATAGGGTTATTTTCTGTTTTCCAGAAACAAATAAAGAAATGACTCCTTTCTTCAGATAAAAATTTCGCAGTGCACTTTTAGTAATCATTTGAAAGCTAAATCTCTGGTTATTTCACTACGTAGCCGTTTTTGGGGAAACCCTATTATACCCCTCTAGTATTCAATATAAAATTATGTTTAACACCGGCTCCACGTTTTTACTATCACTTCGCTGTAAACACGAAAAGCATATGAACGTGCAGAGGAAATCTTGTGCGTCAGAGCGATACGTTATATCTGGTTTTTTTTCAAAACGAGGAAAAAATCTAAAGTTGAAAAACAGAAATTGCACTCCACATATTAGCTGCGCCAACGCGATCAGTAGATCGCCGTATGGGATCGACTACCAGAACTCCTCTCCCTGCTACATTACAGTCAAGCGGTCATTTTAGAAATTAAGCATAGCGCTCGAATTGTGGAAACTGACGCTTTTGAATGGATACTTATAGTTCTAGGAAACAATTTGTGTCCTGCGAGAAATATGCCTGTGTAAAACATAAATGTTTTCTTGCTGCTACAGCGTTACAAAAAAACTTTTTTGTAATCGGTCATGGTAGCATAGTAGCTAGAGAATTGAGCTTCCGAATGATTGATAACACTTTATGAGAATCTCTTGCCCAGTGATAGCAGCCGTTTCTTTATTTGCTCCTGGATAAAAGGAGAGAACCAAGCATTATTCGTTGGTCTTTGTAGTCTATGCCAAACCGCCGCTGGATCAGACTCACCAGCCCACATCCGGAAACTCATCTATGGTCTTCCTTGATTTGGCTGACGATTGCTTTA